CAGACCGGTGAGGCCTCGGTGGTAGAGCGTCTGTTGGAGGGGCAGGGCACGCAGACCCCCGCACCCTGGCTGGCCTTGAACATCCCCGCTGGGCAGGCTGCAAGAGAAAGGAGAGGAAAGTGGTTGGGTGCCGAACCATCCCAGGGCAGAGGTGAAAGCAGGTCCTGTTCTTGAAACAGGGCAGAAAGAACAATGAAATAAAAAAAAGACATATAAAAGCTTCACACCTGTATCAGAGCTAAAGGGGGTAGCACCATCCTCCAAAGCTAGAATGGACATAATTTTCCATGCTGGCCATAAACTATTTCTGGAGCTCCTGGGAAAACACTGAAATCCCACAGAAACAGGCAAGTTTCGTGTAGCATCCCCTGAGACATCAGCCAGCCACGGTCCAAATCAGGTACAAAGCCTAATTACACCCTCCATGATTCAGTAATTAGCCAGGCAGAGCAAGGGGGCTGCAGCAGCTGCTTCACTCCCCACCACTCATACCCAGGCAGGGGGATGGTGAGGGGCTCTGGGCCCCAGAAGTACCCACGGAGACATGGACACACAGAGGCAGGACAGCGTCCATCTTCTGCTGCTCGGAGCTGATCCTTTTTGCCATCTCAATGGCATGGCTCAAGTCTCGCACCTCTTCCCACGCAAAATTTGATTATTTAATTAAAAAGTTGACACAGTGCACACGACCATGTCTTCTGGGTCCATCCCATTAAACCCCCCAGGTGGGGGCTAATAACCCTCCTGGCCTTTGGCCTCAGAGTCCATTCGAGCAGGAAACGGTAACTAATTCATAAACGAGAAGATGCTCCAGTTACAACTTTAATCAGTGACGGGGGGAGGTTTCATTAATCAACCGTCTCACTGCTCCGCAGTTAGAGGGTGAAGATGGAGTGACAAAGACGGGGTCCCTTGTCTCTGCCCCACCCCACCAGTCCTCACCAACTAGGTGCCGATGAACTCATCCATCCTTGACGTCTACCAACACCCTCGGGTGACCCCTACGAAACCAAAGGCTGCAGAAGGTGTTTTGGAACATGTACCGGAGGGACCAGACCTCCAGTCCATCACCCAGCCGGGGGGAGCCGGTTCCCAGCCTCGCACACGGGGTGGTCCCATCTCCGCTTGGCTCCCGGCTCTGCCCCCGTGCTGCTGTCACCTCCAAGGCATGGCTCTGCGGAGAAACACCCTAAGTGTCTCATAAACACAGCGATGATTGAGATAATGGAAAGTGCCTTTTAGCCCCTGCCTGCTGCATCAGGATATGAGGCATCTCCTAGCAGCCATGAAGAGGAAATTAATAGGAGCAAGCAGGAGTAACCACTTTGATGCAATTTCCTTGGGAGATAGTGGACCATCTAATCTTTATTGGAGCCCTTTAACCTGTCATTCAAAACTCATGAAGGCCTCTTGCTCACACAGTCTTTCCAGATATTAAAAGATGATAAAAAAGGATAAATCAAAACAATATTTTACAATTTTATTATTCAGGGGATTTTTTTTCCCCCGCCTAAGGCACACAAGCGGCTGTTAACAGCCGAGTGGGGAGGTGGCATCCCAGAGGGACTAACCACCGTCTCACGCTGGCCTTCCTCTGGCCCACCGCAGCAGGACCTCTCCGTCCTCCGCATCCTACCGCAGCCATCCCACACGTACGGCCGCCTGCGGAAGCACTCAGGACCACCACCTTGTGCAGACAGGCAGCCAGACACACAGGACCAGCACACGCTGCAGGGCGTGGGGTGGGCAGGTGAGGGTGAACTTCAGGGTACAAAGCAGAAGGCGGACGGACATAGACCCTTCCCTGAACCACACACAGCGAGCCCTGCACCCCATAACAGCGTGCCAGACACACAGCCAGGAGACACAACCAGGGGTGGACACCAAGACTCCGAGGGGGATGTGCGTTTTTCACCTCCCCACGATGCCCCAGCAGCATCGCGCTCCCACCAGCAAGCGTTGGCATCCGTGAGACATGCAGCAGGGCACTTGGGGGTACCCAGCCAAGCAGCGCCAGAGCTGGAGGATGTGTTCAGAAACATGCTGGGCCCTTCGGAGGAGCAGGATGGGGAGGGCGGAGGGACCAGGGAACAGCCACCTGGATTTCTATGGAAGGGGATGAGAAAGCGAGGGACGTGGGCAAGGACAGGCGGGTCACAGAGCAAGGAACACACCTCAGTTTTAAGCATAGGAGCACATTAGTGGGTCAGTTGAAGGGACTTGTTAATTTTTAATTGCAATTAAGCCAAGTGATGCTTGTGGAAACACCTGAACAAAGTACACTCTACCCGCCAGTGTCCTCAGCTTTCTTTTATCAATTTGCTTATCCGTAAATTCCTGTAATCTTCAAGAACGTGGCTCTTAATTGTTATTATTACCAATGAGCTCTTCTCTCCTGTAATTACACTGTGCTTGCAAAAAGTCTCCCGCAGTTTCAGGAGAGGATGATGTCCTCTCCTTCCTCCCAAAGCTGCCATGGGCTGCAGCTCTCCGCTCTCACTGCTGCTTGCATCCCCCCTTCTTTCTGGGGAAAGTGAACCATGAACCTCACGCCAAAGATTAAGCCAAAACCCCCCAAGCCCCTGTGATGTCTCAGCAGGATTTATGGAGACCCACACAGCGTGGGATCCTTAATCCTTCAGATGGTCCACGCGCAGAGCAGAAGTAAGGCTGGGATAGAGGGCTGGAGCAGAGGAGGGAGCAATAAATCACCCCCCTAATAGCCAGTGCAGCATTTGCCTTAAATCAAGGGCTGCTGCAAGCAAGTTTCCCAGGGCTGGCAATGTTTGGATCTGCAATAGCGTCTCGGACCGAGCGCGGGACGAGGCTCTGCCTCGGCTTTCCCTGCAGAAACAGGCTCCTTCTGCTGGTGCCCAGGCTGCGGCGCAATGTGCATCTCCTCAGCCCGGAGAAGAATTAATTGATTGTTGATTATGTGGGCTGGATAAGATTAATGATCTGCTTAACTATCCCTTTACTGGCGTTTAAGCACTAAGGGTGTGTTTGTAAATGATGAGGCACGAAACCCAGTGGCTTCAGTGTCGAGGCTGCCTGCTGAGCACTTAAAATCCCCAACCTCACTCAAAGCTGCCTGCACACCAGGGTATATTGCACATCCTGGGTGGCAAGGGCCAGGGGTTTGCCAGCAGGACCCCTTTCCTGGGGCTAACGCTGGCATTTGGGGGTGGGAGGGTTGGGGGTGCTGCGGGATGAATTATTGCAGCAGTAGCAACACGCAGCAGCATTGCTGCCGAAAGCCCTCCCACCTACACCCTTACGTATGGGGTGCCAGGGGTCCTAGGAGCCGGAGGAAAGCGGGATCCCTCTGTTCATCCACCCCTGCTCCTGCCCAAGGCAAGCCACCGTCAGCAGACCAAACGTTCAGCAGAGAGGGTGCAAGCACAGGGGTATCCAAGCATTTCATTCCTCAGACTAAATCCTCTTGGTTAGC